GGGGGGGGGGGGGGCGCACAATAGGCGGAAGTGGCGGGATTGGCAGACGCAATCAAGAAAAAAAATTATACGCGAATTGATACGCCGTGAGGCCTGGTGCACCGCGACGCTGGTGCGTATAGGCTGATATAGCAATAGTGTCAGGATATAGAATATTTATTATATACTTACTGATATAGCATTAGTATCAGGATATAGAATATTTATTATATATAAACTGATATAGCAATAATTTCAGGATATAGAATATTTATTATATATTAACTAATATAGCAATAATTTCAGGATATAGAATATTTATTATATATTTACTAATAAAGCATTAGTGTCAGGATATAGAATATTCATTTATTATATATTAAGTGATATAGCATTAATATCACGATATAGAATATATATTATAAATTCAACTGATATAGTTTATATTATTTATAAACTATATAAATGCTAAGGAAAAATATAATGCTGAAAATAATGCATGTACAGCCACGTTTTATAACTAAAACAAATGTCAACAAAACTGTAGAGAATATATCTATAGCCGGTGCTTGTATCATCATTCAGAGGTCACATGGGGATTAAGAGACAAGAGAACAAGATAAGAATGATAAACAGTAGATTTAATTATTAGTTAGGAGATGAGAGGAATATTTAGTATGAGGCTGAAGATCAAAGGAATACCGAGCGCGCGTGAAGGGCAAGCAGGAGTGAGAGCGACGCGCACCTCCCACGACGACGGCCAGCGCAGCACTGAGGCCTGGGTTGCCAGAGGTTGGTACTAGGAAACGGCCAAAAACGGCCAAATTGGCTTGCAAAAAAAGACCAAAACGTCTTCAAATTCAATATTAATAGGTTATTTTTGCAACACGTCATTAGGAAATTCTATAGGGTTTGAAAATTACATTGGGTCAAACGTAACCTTTTTTTTAGCCAGACGAACTTATTGGAGAAAGACTCAAATTTGCTAATTTGGCCGTAAAAAGGCCATTCTTGCCACTAGCAGGGTAAACTTAAGGCTAAAATGCAGCTCGGAGCCTGCGTCGCGTGCTGATGCTATTAGCTTCTTGCTAGTAATGCTATTCCTACAAGAGTTACGCGGGTTATTACGTTGTCTTATACGTAATGCTATTGCTACCAATGATACAGCGGCAATGATAGAGGCCGCCACGAAAATGATGCTGCGACTAGAACTAGCAGATCACATTGAAGATAAACGTACGTGTACAGAAGATAAGTGCACGTGTACAGAAGATAAGTGCACTTGTACAGAAGATAAGTGCACGTGTACAGAAGATAAGTGCACGTGTACAGAAGATAAGTGCACGTGTACAGAAGATTAGTGCACGTGTACAGAAGATAAGTGCACGTGTACAGAAGATAAGTGCACGTGTACCTGTCTCTTATACACATCTAGATGTGTATAAGAGACAGCGTGTACAGAAGATAAGTGCACGTGTACAGAAGATAAGTGCGCGTGTACAGAAGATAAGTGCACGTGTACAGAAGATAAGTGCGCGTGTACAGAAGATACTGTCTCTTATACACATCTAGATGTGTATAAGAGACAGCGTGTACAGAAGACAGGTGCACGTGTACAGAAGATAAGTGCACGTGTACAGAAGCTGTCTCTTATACACATCTAGATGTGTATAAGAGACAGCACGTGTACAGAAGATAAGAGCACGTGTACAGAAGATAAGTGCACGTGTACAGAAGATAAGTGCACGTGTACAGAAGATAAGTGCACGTGTACACGTGACGAGTGGCAGACGCGCGCTTGCCTGCGTGCGTACAAAGCGCGTGGGGCACAACCCTGACCCCTACAAACCCCTGACCTCCTAGACCCTGCAACCCCTGACAACCCTTGCAGCCTGACAACCTTCTAGACCCTGCAACCCCAGGCCCTTGCAGGGGTTGCACAACCATCTCTACAACCCTCACAACCCTTGCATCTCCAGCAGCGCTCCATGGGACGCCTGCAGCAGCTGTAAGGCTGTCTCTTATACACATCTAGATGTGTATAAGAGACAGGCTGTAAGGTGCAGCAGCTGTAAGGTGCAACAGGTGCAGCAGCTGTAAGGTGCAGCAGGTGCAGCAACTGTAAGGTACAGCAGCTGTCAGGTGCAGCAGCTGTAAGGTGCAGCAGCTGTAAGGTGCAGCAGGTGCAGCAGCTGTAAGGTGCAGCAGCTGTAAGGTGCAGCAGCTGTAAGGTGCAGCAGCTGTAAGGTGCAGCAGCTGTAAGGTGCAGCAGCTGTAAGGTGCAGCAGGTGCAGCAGCTGTAAGATGCAGCAGGTGCAGCAGGTGCAGCAGCTGCAGCGGTCAAGGTCGGCGCTGTTTCACACTGGGCAGCGAAAGCAAAATTGTTGGGTGGCGGTGGGGTGGTTGGTGGCTTAAAAAAAATACCATTGCATCTATTGAATTTTCAGTTAGATTCATGCACCAAATAAGAACTGGACTTGATATTCTGGATCACTAGTGACCCATCGTATTCAGGCGATATCTAACTCTACTCACGTTAGGAAAAAATAAGCGCGTCAGAAAATTCAAGTGCCTGAGTCAACGGCGAATTAAGTATGTGAGCTTTCATAAAGAACACTTTGTATACTTCATGTATGTCTAATTATTGTGTAGCCTCCGCACTGCACTTAATTCTGTGTGATCAGTGTAGAGGCCTCAAACACAGCTATATACATGCTCATGCTAGGTGTTGTATACTTCCAACACTGTAATCCTGTATAATATTGATTATTTTCGTACACTAATTTCAGCCAATGCACCAAATGTTCCGTCAAACTTGGCTTGTGTCTTCGTAACAGCCCAGCACAGTTTAAATACTAGAGGAAAAACTGTAGAGGAAAACTGTACCTCTTCGACGGAAATGGATTATGGAACTAGACATAGAATGATTTTCGTTAATTTTTAACGGTGTTTCCGACGTGTAACGAAGTTTAAAGTCATGAACAAAACCAAAATGTCGCGCAACAATTTGCACTGAAATTTAATAGAATTTTACTTTAAATTAAGTTTAGTCAACAAACGTTTAAGGCGTTCCTCAATCTTTAATATGAGCCAAACGATTAAGGCGTTCATCAATCTTTTGATAAAAACCCTCTCAAATGGGATAATATCCTTCAGTTTACACTTGTTGGTCGTTCGCTAGTGGTTGTTTTCTGCAATATAATATGTTGATTTCGGTTGTGAGCATTGGTTTCAAATACTGATTTGGCATTCATCTTCCACCTTCATCTTTGGCATCTTCTTCCTATCAATGACCGTCAAACTTCGCTTCAAGCGCCTAACAGGTTCCCACACAATCACGAGCGACACAACCGCTTGACTCAAGAGTTAGGCCGCTTCACGGTTAAGAATCTTATGGCCGCTTCACTTAGAATCTTATGGCCGCTTCACTTCACTCAGAATATGATGGCGTTAGGCCGCTTCACTTAGAATCTTATCATTAAAAGACCTATCACAGCCTCCATGTGATTGCTGCTAGGTTATCAGGTCTCTGCCAATCACCAATCATCAACGCAACGTTATCAGGTCTCTGCCAATCACCAATCATCTGACCAGCGTTATCAGGTCTCTGCTAATCACCAATCATCTGACGCAACGTCATCAGGTCTCTGCCAATCACCAATCATCTGATCAGCGTTATCAGGTCTCTGCCAATCACCAATCATCTGACCAGCGTTATCAGGTCTCTGCCAATCACCAATCATCTGACCAGCGTTATCAGGTCTCTGCCAATCACCAATCATCTGACCAGCGTTATCAGGTCTCTGCCAATCACCAATCATCTGACCAGCGTTATCAGGTCTCTGCCAATCACCAATCATCTGACCAGCGTTATCAGGTCTCTGCCAATCACCAATCATCTGACCAGCGTTATCAGGTCTCTGCCAATCACCAATCATCTGACCAGCGTTATCAGGTCTCTGCCAATCACCAATCATCTGACCAGCGTTATCAGGTCTCTGCCAATCACCAATCATCTGACCAGCGTTATCAGGTCTCTGCCAATCACCAATCATCTGACCAGCGTTATCAGGTCTCTGCCAATCACCAATCATCTGACCAGCGTTATCAGGTCTCTGCCAATCACCAATCATCTGACCAGCGTTATCAGGTCTCTGCCAATCACCAATCATCTGACCAGCGTTATCAGGTCTCTGCCAATCACCAATCATCTGACCAGCGTTATCAGGTCTCTGCCAATCACCAATCATCTGACCAGCGTTATCAGGTCTCTGCCAATCACCAATCATCTGACCAGCGTTATCAGGTCTCTGCCAATCACCAATCATCTGACCAGCGTTATCAGGTCTCTGCCAATCACCAATCATCTGACCAGCGTTATCAGGTCTCTGCCAATCACCAATCATCTGACCAGCGTTATCAGGTCTCTGCCAATCACCAATCATCTGACCAGCGTTATCAGGTCTCTGCCAATCACCAATCATCTGACCAGCGTTATCAGGTCTCTGCCAATCACCAATCATCTGACCAGCGTTATCAGGTCTCTGCCAATCACCAATCATNCAGTTATATAACCCGGGTCCAGGGAGAGGAGCAGTTATATAACCCGCGTCCAGGGAGAGGAGCAGTTATATAACCCGCGTCCAGGGAGAGGAGCAGTTATATAACCCGGGTCCAGGGAAAGGAGCAGTTATATAGCCCGGGTCCAGGGAAATGAGCAGTTATATAGCCCGGGTCCAGGGAAAGGAGCAGTTATATAACCCGGGTCCAGGGAGAGGAGCAGTTATATAGCCCGGATCCAGGGAAAGGAGCAGTTATATAGCCCGGGCCCAGGGAAGGAGCAGCCCGGGCCCTAACCCAAATGGCCGGGAATGGCTGGGTTATTAATATAAAAACTGACCGCCGCGGCGGCGGGAGGTCAAATCGATGGACGGGCGAGATGGATAAGTGGTATTAGGGGCCTTCAGTGGGGCCCGGGGCTGTGTTTAGTGGGCCAGCTCATTAACTATTAGAGGCCTTCAGTGGGGCCAAGGAGACCCAGCCCAGGGCCCAGAGGGCACAGAGGAGGCCCAGCCCAGGGCCCAGTAGGCACAAAGGAGGCCCAGCCCAGGGCCCAGTGGGTACAAAGGAGGCCCAGCACAGTGCCCAGTGGGTACAAAGGAGGCCCAGCACAGTGCCCAGTGGGCACAAAGGAGGCCCAGCCCAGGACCTGGTGGGCACAGAGGAGGCCCAGCCCAGGGCCCAGTGGGCACAGAGAAAGCCCAGCCCAGGGCTCAGAGGGCACAGAGGAGGCCCAGCCCAGGGCCCAGTGGGCACAGAGGAGACCCAGCCCAGGGCCCAGTGGGCACAGAGAAAGCCCAGCCCAGGGCCCAGAGGGCACAGAGGAGGCCCAGCGGGTAAGCCGTGGCATTTGCCATAAGGGCACGCGGCGCTGGTTTATTCATGGCAGGCGATGCTGCCCCTGCCGCTACTCTTGTATTATATAGGCATTATACTAGGTTATATTATGTAGGTATTATCTTAGGTTATATGTTATTATATTTCATTATTTATTATTATATTATTATTGAATTATATAACCCGGGCCCAGGGAAAGGGCGGCTATATAACCCGGGCCCAGGGAGAGGGCGGCTATATAACCCGGGCCCAGGGAGAGGGCGGCTATATAACACGGGCCCAGGGAGAGGGCGGCTATAAAACCCGGGCCCAGGGAGAGGCCGGGCGGCTATATAACTCGGGCCCAGGGAGGGGGCGGCTATATAACCCGGGCCCAGGGAGAGGGCGGCTACATAACCCGGGCCCAGGGAGAGGGCGGCTATATAACCCGGGCCCAGGGAGAGGGCGGCTATATAACACGGGCCCAGGGAGAGGGCGGCTATAAAACCCGGGCCCAGGGAGAGGCCGGGCGGCTATATAACTCGGGCCCAGGGAGGGGGCGGCTATATAACCCGGGCCCAGGGAGAGGCCGGGCGGCTATATAACTCGGGCCCAGGGAGGGGGCGGCTATATAACCCGGGCCCAGAGAGGGGGCGGCTACATAACCCGGGCCCAGGGAGGGGGCGGCTATANGAAGACTTAGGGTGATTGTGGACGGGAGATTGAAAGACTTAAGGGTGATTGTGGGCGGGAGATTGGAAGACTTAGGGTGATTGTGGGCGGGTGATTGGAAGACTTAGGGTGATTGTGGACGGGAGATTGAAAGACTTAAGGGTGATTGTGGGCGGGAGATTGGAAGACTTAGGGTGATTGTGGGCGGGTGATTGGAAGACTTAGGGTGATTGTGGACGGGAGATTGAAAGACTTAAGGGTGATTGTGGGCGGGAGATTGGAAGACTTAGGGTGATTGTGGGCGGGTGATTGGAAGACTTAGGGTGATTGTGGACGGGAGATTGAAAGACTTAAGGGTGATTGTGGGCGGGAGATTGGAAGACTTAGGGTGATTGTGGGCGGGTGATTGGAAGACTTAGGGTGATTGTGGACGGGAGATTGAAAGACTTAAGGGTGATTGTGGGCGGGAGATTGGAAGACTTAGGGTGATTGTGGGCGGGTGATTGGAAGACTTAGGGTGATTGTGGACGGGAGATTGAAAGACTTAAGGGTGATTGTGGGCGGGAGATTGGAAGACTTAGGGTGATTGTGGGCGGGTGATTGGAAGACTTAGGGTGATTGTGGACGGGAGATTGAAAGACTTAAGGGTGATTGTGGGCGGGAGATTGGAAGACTTAGGGTGATTGTGGGCGGGTGATTGGAAGACTTAGGGTGATTGTGGACGGGAGATTGAAAGACTTAAGGGTGATTGTGGGCGGGAGATTGGAAGACTTAGGGTGATTGTGGGCGGGTGATTGGAAGACTTAGGGTGATTGTGGACGGGAGATTGAAAGACTTAAGGGTGATTGTGGGCGGGAGATTGGAAGACTTAGGGTGATTGTGGACGGGTGATTGGAAGACTTAGGGTGATTGTGGGCGGGTGGTTGGAAGACTTAGGGTGATTGTGGACGGGAGATTGAAAGACTTAAGGGTGATTGTGGGCGGGTGTTTAAAAGACTTAGGGTGATTATGGGCGGGTGATTGAAAGACTTGAGGGTGATTGTGGGCGGGTGTTTAAAAGACTTAGGGTGATTATGGGCGGGAGATTGGAAGACTTAGGGTGATTGTGAGCGGGAGATTGGCAGACATGAGCTGACAATGACGCCACACGGTAATTGTGAGGTGATTGGTTGATTGGTCAGGCATTGGCCAAAGCTGCAGATACGGTAAGACGTATACGAGCAGCTTAGACGTATACAGTAAGACGTATACGTCTGAGGTAGACTGGATACGACGTATCCATTCGACGTATACGGTACGCCGCACCTTGCGAACTTACGACCACCATGGAAGTGGTCGTAATTTACGACCAATTCACCTCTTTACGACCATAATCACCTCTAGTCGAATTTACGACAGCCAGAGAACCTAAGATAGACGTGAACCGTGCAGGGACATAAGTGGATTGAATAATGACATATTTTGATAAGGCACTTATTTACATGTGACTTGGAGTAATGGATGCAAATGTGGCCGGTAAATATTTATATTATTTCTTAATGCAAACTCACATCAACAATACAACTGGAAAATGACATGCTAGATTATTTAATGCGACTTGTGATACGATAGTGAAAATTCCAACCAGCAGTGATGGCTTTCCCTCACCGCATTATATAGTCTCATTCACACCCATTTTCCCTCTCCCTTCCCCAGTGAAGGGCCTCCTTACCGTGAAGCTCTCAACACTTCACGGCAATGAACGTCTTGTTGTATTACGGCCAAACAGAGGCTGTATTACAGCCGAGTAGCGGCAGTATTACAGCCGAGTAGCGGCAGTATTACGGCCAAACAGCGGCTGTATTACAGCCGAGTAGCGGCAGTATTACAGCCGTGTAGCGGCAGTATTACGGCCAAACAGCGGCTGTATTACAGCCGAGTAGCGGCAGTATTACAGCCGAGTAGCGGCAGTATTTCAGCCGAGTAGCGGCAGTATTACGGCCAAACAGCGGCTGTATTACAGCCGAGTAGCGGCAGTATTACGGCCAAACAATACCTGTACTACGGCCGCATAGCGGCAGAATTACGGCCAAGTAGCGGTAGCATTACGGCCCCAGTAACGGCAGTATTACACGGCCCCGCAGTGACGGTATGACGGCCGAGTTGCGGCAGTATTACGGCCCAGCAGTGACGGTATTACGGTCGAGTTGCGGAGATATTGCGGCCGAGCAGCGGCCAGACAAGAGCGCGTTATGGTGACATTACAGTCCGGTTTGCCCATGGGTTATGGAGGCACAATGGTCACGAAAATCCTGACAAATATCCCATTTGGCCGGATATGATCAGGCTACGAGGAAGCTATGGTCGGGTTATAGACGAGCAAGGTTATTAAGCTATGGTCAGGCTATGGTCGGGCTATTGCTGGGCTATGATCGGGCTAAGGTGCGGCTAAGGTCGGTTTAAGTTCGGGCTATGGCCAAGGCCTGACCGCAAGCTTGCGACACAAAAGGATCGCGTCTCGTTAAGGCAAGACTGACCTGCCGCCTGTCCAGGCGATGGCATTCAGTGCCACACGCTCACCAGACGATGGCATTCAGTGCCACACGCTCACGTAGGAGCAGAAGCAGGCTAAACTGGAGGCGGATTACAGAAGGTAAACTTAAATTTAAAAAGCTTGATTTAAATTAAAATAAAACTTAAATTTAAAAAGCTTGAGCGAGAGATGCAGGATGTGGTGAAAGATGAGATATGTAACTGCAGAGGAGTGGAAAAGCGTGGGGTGAGGTGAGGGATGATAGGTGGGGTAAAGAGTGGGGTGAGGGATGACATACTACCTGTGGAGGAGTGGGTAAGCATGGGGGGAGTGGGAAAGCATGGGGATAACATACCTGTGGAGGAGTGGGAAAGCATGGGGGTGAGGGGTGGGAGTGGGATAAGGGATGTTAGGTGGAGTGAGGAGTGGGGTGAGGGATGACATACCTGTGGAGGAGTGGGAAAGCGTGGAGGTGAGGGGTGAGGTGAGGGTTGACCGCAGTCTCGGGGTGACACTCCTCTCCTCCCCGCTCCTGGTGCTCTCGATGCGCATCCTGACACACCCCCGTGTGTCCTGATGTGTCAATTGACACAATCGCCGTCTAGTGTCTTGACAATCTTGAGAAGTGTGTCACTAGAACGCACTGACACACTTTGAACAGTTGACTGACTCACTTGACACAGTTAACTCACTTAACACAGTTGACTCACCTGACGCACTTTTCACAGTTGACTCACTTAACACAGTTGACTCACTGACACAAGTGACTCACCGGTACACACCCTAGCGACAACGTCAACTATTAGTGAATTCAATCAACAATATTCACTAAATAATCAGCAATAAGCGTTTTAGCTTCAAAAGATTCGACATTTTATATGAGCTGCCGTTACGCGGGGCTAGCGAGAGGAATGACAGCTAAAACATTCCTGTGGGGTGAGGGATGATAAGCGTTGAAATGGTTAAAAATTGACCGTGTTAAAATTAGCGTGTGTTAATTAATCGCAACATTGATCGCAACATTCGCCGATAATAACCCAGCAGAAAAGCAGCTACAAAAGAAGCCTTTCATGATAACGTAAACCGAAATAGAAATGAAAAACTGCAACTATTTAGCGAAAAAATAATACGAAAAACAGCTGACGTCATTGATGAAGACAAGGTGAGAACTAGACGCTGCAGATAACAGTTATCGTGATAAGAGATACAGCCGCTGGTGCATACAAAGATAAACGAGATTTTTTCCAATTAACGATGCATTTTTTGCTCTTTCTGGCTCATCCTGATCCAGTTTGGCCCGGTATAAGGGCAAGTCAGTTCTACTTCAGGGCCTATACTTTCAAAAAAAGTTAAGAGATCGTAAGTTCATCAGCCAATCATTGACGGCATTTCAAGCAAAATCCACCAATAGAGCGTAAGTACTTACGTTAACTTAGCGAGTTTTGAAAGATATGGACCCTGGGGCCATACTTTCAAAACTCGCTAAGTGAACGTAAGTACTTACGCTCTATTTTCTTGTCTGTGATTG